TGACCGTCCCAGGGATCCGCTGCACAGAAGTGATGTTCACCTTTGGAGGCGGTCTCACGTGAATGACAGAGAACAAAGTCGCTCTCCACCTTGTGGGGCCCAGAGGAAGGAGAAGCCCGGACACTCACTGTTCACAGTCACAAGGGCCTGATTGGGTGAAGCCTCCTCCTGCCCCACCCCCGCCATGGCCACCGGGCTGCTCTGCTGGGTGGCCCTTTTCCTCCTGCGAGTCGGTGAGTCCCCAGAAATTAACAATCTGCATTTTTTTTTACATTCCCAGTTGCATTTATGTTCCTTATCCTCTTCCCAAATGCCATCTCTTCTGCAGAGCCCACACACGCTGGCGTCACCCAGACACCCAGGCACGAGGTGACAAAGATGGGACAAAACGTAACTCTGAGTTGTGAGCCAATTGCAGGACACGCTGCCCTTTACTGGTACAGACAGACCATGGGGCAGGGACTGAAGTTTATGATTTACTTCAATAATCAAAGTCCTATAGACGACACAGGGATGCCCAACAAGCGGTACTCAGCTCGGATGCCTAATGATTCGTTCTCCACTCTGAAGATCCAGTCCACAGAGCCGGGGGACTCAGCCGTGTACCTCTGTGCCAGCAGCTTTGCCACAGCGCTGCACAGTCGCCCCCTCCCTGTGCAGAAACCTCCTGCTTCCCCCTTTCTCATCGGCCACCAGGGGTCCTGAGTAAATGCCTTCTCTCTTTTCTCACCACAAGACATGCATGTGTTGCGGACATGACAAGGATAGAAAGGCTTGGGAATCAACCTAGAAACACCTGCATTGGAAACAGTGTAGGAAATGGGTGTGAGGGAATCCTCTTACGTTGTCCATGCTCTACACTCACCGCACCGTGATAGAAACCTGAGTTACCCACACTGAGCGTTTTCCTGTCTTCCTGTATCGGCCTCCCCTTCTGACCTGTAGGAGCTGCTGGTAATGGCTCCTCAGCCCTCCGTTCTCCTCTCCCTCTAAGCTGTTAACAGAATTTCCACCCAACATAGTCAACCACAGGCTTCTTACAGGTTTTATTTATTTTGAGGTAGGAGTAAGGGAGTGAGAAAGAGAGGATAAGAAACATCAATTTGAAGAGAAACATCAGTCGGTTGCCTCTCATACATACAACCCAGGCATGTGCGCTCACTGGGAATAGAACTGATGACCTTTCGCTTTGCAGGATGATGCCCAACACACCGGAGCCACCCTGGTCAATGAACATACATGCTTTTCTAAGGTCTCTCATAGCCCAATTCCACTTGTCATGGTCTTAATTTTTGCCACTTACTGCCCTGACCTTTCGAGGGAAATGAAATAAAATTCCTACTGTGTTTATGCTGTGTGATAGAATCAAACACATTGAGGGCGATCACTGTCCATTCTATATGTTCCTGGGTCCTCCCTGCTTCTTCCCGATGAGCCCCCACCCCTTGGCTTCAATACTCAGCTCCTCGCTAACGTGGCATCAGAACATTACCCTTCATCGATGAACTTGTTGTGACGTTCCTACGTTCAGATCCATCCTCATTCACTTCTTCTCCGCACTATGCTATCACCTTTGTGGGTGTCATTGTCACATGGAGAATTTCTACATGGGTCTGGGTTTCGGTTTCTTGATGTCCTTTTCCAATAATTATCACTTCTAATCCTTTCCAGATGCACTTCAGTAATTCCAGGCAGTGGAATAAACAACAAAGAAACACCTTCCTAAATTTCCATTTTAATCACCTCGTTCTCCTCCCTCTTCTTATTTGTTTTCTTCTCACTATTCATGACCATCCTACTAAGATTCCTTTAGCCACTGACCCTCAGTGGATGTACACGTAATAGCTTTTAAACTTCCATGTTCTTAATATTCACGTCGTCTCAACCAAGATCAAGGTTTAAGACCATAGGATCACCCTTGGTAAACCCATCTTCCTCTTGGCATCTATGGATGGGAAGGTGGGAGGTTCTGAGTCTCTGAGAGCATTTTGCAGTGATCACATGCAGCCTGGTCACCGACGGGAAATCTCTGATACTACAGAATTTTCCATTGGTTTGCTGCTGTGCACGGAAAATGCATGTGTCAATATGAAGCTTTTCTTACATTTAAAGAATCTAATTTGGCTGACCTGGTGTGTTGGTGTATTTTTATTAAATAAAGAAAACTTTGTAACAATACAGTACCTCAATAAAGAAGCTGAAAATATAGGATACAATCCCATTTCTGTGAAAATATATCTATATCAATATAGAAAGCAGGCAAATAAATAGAGCTAGATTTCAAGTACAGATATTTAGGACTGTTTATATAGTTTTTTAAATTTTTAAAATTATAAGATAATACATAGAAAATACATCTACCTTGACTTAAAAAAAAAAAAGATATATCTTCCAGGTATGCCATGTTTAACTATAAATGTATAGGAGCCAAGACAAATCTATGAAAGGTTATAGATCAAGTTCGTTTTCTAGTAATTCAACATAGTGGGGTTGGAGGAGGGACTGAGGGCTGTTCCCCGGCCTTGTGTTACATATCGCTCTTTCTCACTTGTTGCTAAGGTAACTTGTGAAATATTATTTTTTAAAATCCTTGCAGGGCATAGGGAATCTTTTTTTAATAAAAGGAGAATTCTCAGCTATGAAGAAAAGAGATGTGGAAGTTAGAACAGCGAGGGATGGTAGAGGCCAGAGAGATGACTGAGTTTCTCAGCACAGAGAGCCCCGGTGCGGGGCCACGTCCTAGGACATGTGTGACCGTCCCAATGATCTGCTGCACAGAGCTGATGTTCGCCTTGGGGAGGTGCTCACATGAGCAAACACAGAGAGCAAGTCACTCTCCACCCCGTGGAGCCGAGAGGAAGGAGAAGCCCTGCCCTGTGCTCATGCTCACAAGGGCCTCATCTCAGAGAAGCCTCCTCCTGCCCCCACCCCCGCCAAGGCCACCGGGCTCCTCTGCTGGGTGGCCCTTTGTCTCCTGCGAGTAGGTGAGTCCCCAGAGATTGAAAATCTGCATTTTTTTCATGTTCCCAATTCTGTGCCCACTTCTGTTCCTTATCCTGTTCCCAAACTCTCTCTTCCGCAGAGCCCACTGATGCTGGGGTCACCCAGACACCCAGGCACGAGGTCGCAGAGATGGGACAAGACGTAACTCTGAGTTGTAAACCCAAATCAGGCCACACTGACATTTACTGGGACAGACAGACCTCAGTGAAGGGACTAGTGTTTATGATTTATTTCAACAGTCGAACTGTCGTAGACGACACAGGGATGCCCAACAAGCGGTACTCAGCTCGGATGCCTAATGCTTCGTTCTCCACTCTGAAGATCCAGTCCACAGAGCCGGGGGACTCAGCCGTGTGCCTCTGTGCCAGCAGCTTCGCCCCAGCGCTGCACAGTTGCCCCCTCCCTGTGCAGAAACCTCAGCTTCCCCTTCTCTCAGCAGCTGCCACAGGTTCTAAGTAAACGTCTTCTCTGTTTTCTCACCAAGAAACATGTGTGGATTTGGCCCATAACAAGGACAGAAAGGCTTAAGTATGAAATCGAAACCCCTGCATAGAAAACAATGTAGAAGTGGGAGTTAGAGAATCCTCACACATTGTGACTCAAAACTCACTACACCTGAGAGATAGACCTTACTACCCTCATGTTCTTTTCCTGCCTTCCTCCATCTGAACCATAGGTGCCCTGGTAATGTCTCCAAAGCCCTGCAGTCTCTTCTCCTTCTATTCTGCTAATAGGATTTTCCCCTCCACGCACATGCATTCCAGAGTTCTATCACGTGGACAAATTCAACTTGTCATTTTCTGTTTTTTTGGTATCCAGCGGCATTTAACTTCAATATGAATTCAGAATAAAATTTCTACTGTACTTATGCCAAAAGATATAAGCTGCTTCTATGTTCAATTTTAATATATTCTTTGTGCTCCTGATTTTACCTGCTGCTTCTACACCATTCTCCTCCTTCTGGCTTTCATACCCAGCCCTTCACATGCATAGATTAGAATATTGGCCTTTTGTGAAACTTACTTCTCTACAATCAGCTCCGTCCTTGTTCACTTCCCTCCCCACTATTGAACCTACCGTGACTGGTGACGTCACCATCATCACACAGACAATTTATACGCAGGCCTGGTTTCTTAGTTTCCTGACCTCTTCACTTTCAATAACCTTTTGTTTCCCATCTTCTCCTTGTGCACTTCCAAGTCTAAATCATAGAGTGAACAACAAATAAGCTCCTTCCATAATTTCCGTTTATCTTTCCAGGCTCCAATCCCTTTCTTCTTTCCTTCTTAAATGCAAAATTATCTTCTAATGATACAGTCATCGACCTATCGCCCATTTACCTAACTTCTTTGAACCTCTCCTGTCTTATTTCTCCCATTGTAAATCACATAAAAGAATTAATACTATAATGTCAACATTGGGTAAATCCAAGGCCATATTCCCAGGGCATCTGTATAGTTCCCTTCATATTGACCACAGTGGCCAATCCAAATGCTGCTGGTAGGGATTGGGTAAAACCACAGCTCAGGCAGAAATGACTTCGATTTGTGTGTCTTGGAGTCAGGGGCTGCCTTGAGGGGACCATGAAGGACTTGAGACTGGAAGTACCATCTTCACGCCCAAGATGTGCAGTGCTGATGGCATCTGCTTGTGACAGTATGCCATCATATTTTCACATACTGGATGGTAGACACGTATGGAAGCAGAGAACAAAGAATGGCAGAGCACAGACTGTGAGCCGTGACTGTTGTTGAAAGTCTTGGAAACTGCATGATCTGAGCAAACCTCAGAGGAGACAGGACCTACTCCAGTCAGTGCTTCTGAAGAGGATTATTATTCACGTTTGGGAGGAGGCCCTGTGAGGAAATCACAGAGAACAATGTCACGACCAAGCCACACTCCACCTTGTGGAGCCCAGAGGAAGTAGAGGCCCTGCCCCTGTGTTCATGCTCACAAGGGCCTCGTCTGGGAGAAGCCTCCTCTGCCCAGTCCCCGCCATGGCCACCAGGCTCCTCTGCTGGGTGGCCCTTTGTCTCCTGGGAGTAGGTGAGTCTCCAGAAATTAACAATCTGCATTTTTTTACATTCCCAGTTCTGTGTCCATTCATGTGTCTTATCCTGTTACCAAACTCCGTCTCTTCCGCAGAGCCCACACAAGCTGGGGTCACCCAGACACCCAGGCACGAGATCACAGAGATGGGACAAGACGTAATTCTGAGTTGTGAGCCAATTTCCAGTCATACCTATCTTTACTGGTACAGACAGACCTCAGTGCAGGGACTAGAGCTCATGATTTATTTCAGCAGCCAAAGTCCTATGGACGACACAGGGATGCCCAAGAAGCGGTACTCAGCTCGGATGCCTAATGCTTCGTTCTCCACTCTGATGATCCAGTCCACAGAGCCGGGGGACTCAGCCGTGTACCTCTGTGCCAGCAGCTTTGCCACAGCGCTGCACAGTCGCCCCCTCCCTGTGCAGAAACCTCCTGCTTCCCTTTCTTGCCCCATCCATCCTCAGCAGTCTTTCTGGGCTTCCTGCTGTCAGAGCACGGGGGTGGGTTTGGTGTTCTACCTCTTTGTAGAAAAGCCAAGGACCGAATCCACAGAATGTATCACATTAGGAAACTCTTGGAAACAAAGGCAACAGGGGCTTGCTCCTGGCATTCCTCTCAAATTCTCACTGAAGGTGGCTGAGTTCAAGGCTGAGGGTTAATGTATCCCACAGGGCTTTCAAGTGATGTAGGCAGCTTAAAACTGTGCAGCTACTGCACCAGATCATTATCTCAGGTGGATTATCTCAGTTGACAATTAGTGGTCCCTCCTGCCTTTGCCTTCACCGTCGGAATGGTTAAAGGGGGCTACGGTTAAATCCTCAGATCTGTTCAGCCCTTTCCAATGTCTTCTAACTCTTCCACAATTATCTTTCTAATTGTAACAAGACACCTTTTTCCCATTTTCAGAAGTTCCCTTTTCTTAATCTATCATGTAAAAATAGCTGTAGATTCACAGGAAGTTGCAAAGGAGAATGAAAGTTCCCACTGTCCCTTTATCCTCTCTCCACCAATGGTTACATCTTCCGTAATTGTCCTAAAATATCAAGGCCAGGAAGTTGACATTGGCACCAAGCCTACAAGCAGGTCTTTATTCACATTTGAAGATGCAATCAAGACACAGAGCTATCATAGCACCACAATCTGCCCAATACACGCACACACGCACACTCACACACATTATCCCTGACCCCTGGGAACCACTGTTCTCCATATCTGTGATGTCATTTTGAGAATGTTTTATAAATGGACTCATACAGTAGCTGGGTTTTTTTTCAGATTGGCTCTTTTCACTCAGCACATGGCCCTTGAGAGTTGATTGAGTTGTTCGATTATTGACTTATTAATAATTCTTGTTGTTGTTGTTGTTTTTAATTGCTGAGTAGCATTCCATAGCATAGATGTACCAAAGCTTGCATAGACACTCACCTGTTGTAGGACATTTTGGTTGCTCTAATGTTTGACTATTACAAGTTAAGTGGCTTTGTATAAACATTTCTGTGAAGGGTTCTGTGTGGACATAAATTCTTACTTCCCCGGGATAAATTTCTGCCCTGGAGTAAGATTGAGATTGCTGGGTTGTATGGGAAGTACATTTTTATTTTTTTAAGGACACTACCCAATTATTTTCCAGCATGGCTATACTACTTTACATTCCTAGAGAGTCACTTCTTTTCACTGTTTATGCTGTTACAGTTGTTTCTGTTTTTTCCCCTCTTCCCACCTCTACACAGCCCCATCCTCTCTCCTCCCTCAATCAGTCCCATATCATTGTCCATGTCCACGGGTCATGCATGATTTCAACTTACATGTAACATTACCTTTTACCATTTCCAATATACACATGCAGATTACTAGAAGAATAGAAACCTGGCAGACCCAAATATACTTTTCTTTGGGTGTTTTTGAACTCTTCATAAGTATCTGAATCCTTTCTATCAATTATCTAATGGGGGTCTGTCTGCACACTGTGTCCCTTGTCCTAGGAAGCTGCCTGGTCCTTCAAAACAGCATGCAAGTTATGTTTTAATTAGACTTCTGGCCAAGATGGAGGTGTAGCTAGAGACACTTTGCCTCCTTGCATAAACAAAAGAAGGACAACAACAAATTTAAAAACAAAAAACAACAAGAACTGGCAGAAAATCAAACTGTATAGAAGTCTGATGACCAAGGAATTAAAGGAGAAACATTCATCCAGAGGCGGACATGGTCAGCCAGGGTAGAGAGGATGCACAACAAGGTAGCTGCTTGTGGACTGGATGCAGATTTTGCATGCGGATAAACTGGGAGCAAAAGCTGGGGAGCGAGACAGACCAAGCAACCCAAGTTTCCAGTGCAGGAAAAGAAAGCCTCAAAACCTCTGGCTGTAGTAACCTATGGGGGTTGTAGTGACAGGAGAAGCTTCCAGCTTCACAAAAGAGTTTGCTGGAGAGACCCATGGGGTCCTAGAACATATACAAACCCACCCAGCTGGGAATCAGGACCAGAAGGGCCCAATTTGCTTGTAGGTGGTGAGAGAAGTGACTGAAAGCTAGCTGAGAGCCAAGCAAGTGGCATTGTTCCCTCTTGAACCCCTACACCACATACAGCGTCACAATGCAGAGACCTGGGTTGCCCTGCCCTGGTGAATACGTAAGGCTCTGCGCCTCCCAACATAACAGGCATGTTTAGACAAACAAATATGGCCCAAATGAAAGAATAGGTCAAAGTTCCAAAAATAGAACTAAGCAATGAAGAGAAAGCTAAGCTATCAGTTCAAAACACTGGTAATCAGAATGCTCACTGAAATGGTTGAGTATGGTCCCAAAATGGAAGAAAAAGTGAAGGCTATGCAAAGTGAAATAAAGAAAAATATACAGGGAATTAACAGTAAAGGGAAAGAAACCAGGACTCAAATCAATGATTTGGAGCGGAGGGAAGAGATAACATTCAACTAGAACAGAATGAAAAGACAAGAATTCAAAAAATAAGAAGAGGCTTAGGAATGTCCAGGACAACTTTAACCGTTCCAACATCCAAATCATAGGGGTGAGAGAAGGAGAAGAAGAAGAGCAAGAAATTGAAAACTTATTTGAGAAAATAATGAAGAAGAACTTCCCCAATCTGGCAAAGGAAATAGACTTCCAGGAGACCGAGGAAGTTCAGAGAGTCCCAAAGAAGTGGGACCCAAGGAAGCATACACCAAGGCACATCATAATTACATTACCCAAGATTAAAGATAAAGAGAGAATCTTCAAAGAAGCAAGAAAAAGGAGACAGTTACCTACAAAGGAGTTCCGATAAGACTATCAGCTGACTTCTCAAAAGAAACCTTGCAGGTAAGAAGGGGCTAGAAAGAAGTATTCAAAGTCATGAAAGTCAAGGACCTACATCCAAGAATACTCTGTCCAGCAAAGCTATCATCTAGATGGAAGGAGTTCATCATCACCAACCTCTTAGTATATGAAATGTTAAAGGGACTTATCTAAGAAAAAGAAGATCAAAAACTATGAACATAAAATGACAACAAACTCACAGTTATCAACAACTGAACCTAAAAAAAACCAAACAAACTAAGCAAACAACTAGAACAGGAACAGAATCATAGACATGGAGATCAGAAGGAAGGTGGAGAGGGGAGAATGGGGGAAAGGGTACAGGGAATAAGAAGCATAAATAGTAGGTACAAAATAGACAAGGGGAAGTTAAGAATAGTATAGGAAACAGAGAAGCCAGAGAACTTATATGTGTGATCCATAGACATGAACTAAGGGCTACGGGTGGGAGGGCCGTTGTGGGGAGAGGTAGTACAGGGCAGAGTGGAATAAAGGGGAGAAAAAAATGGGACCAGTGTAATAGTATAATCAATAAACTATATATTAAAAAAAAGATGGTACATTTTAATCAAATCACATAATTGAACAAAACCATTTACTGGTCATCTATTAAGTTGCAGGGACATTTTAAGGCCTTACATTTTACTCTGAAAGGATGAAATCCTACTGGCCAGAAAAGAAAATTACACTGCTCACTACGGTCAGCTTCCTCATGAACATGCAGGAGGACAGTTCCTATTTAAGTGCAGAAACAGGTCAACGTTATCGGCACTGGCTCTTCATCACCCCTCAAACTTGTTCAGAGAAATTTCACTCTTTCGGCGACCCTTCTTCTTCCCTAGAGGGCTCTCTTGAGACTATAGGCGTGGGCTGCCATGGTGATGTCATTGCCAGACACACCTTACAGGGCCAAGGGGACACAGATTTGCTTTCATTTTGGCTCATACTTACCAGTTCCATCATCTGGAAAAGTTCTTATTTTTATCTGGATCCTGCCATGGTTGGCAGGCTTCTCGGCGTGTTGTCCCTTTGCCTCCTGGGAGCAAGTGAGTCTTCTGGCACGGGCCCATCTCCACTTGGCCTTTGCCCAGGCCCCTCTTGCCATGTAGTCTATGTTCTTGTCTTTTCCCGTAGGACACGTTTCAGCTGGAGTCACTCAGCTCCCCAGCCACAGGGTCATAGAGAAGGAACAGGATGTGACTCTGAGATGTGACCCGATTTCTGGACATGAGACACTTTTTTGGTACCAACATGTTGCAGGGAAAGAAATAACCTTTCTGATCCGCTTCCTGAAGGAGCAGGTACAGGATAAATCAGGGATGCCCGATGACGATCGGTTCTCAGCTGAGAGGACTGAAGGGACGTTTTCCACCCTGAAGATCCAGCGTGCACGTCCGGGGGACTCCGGAGTTTACTTCTGTGCCAGCAGCCTTTACACAGTGCTTCAGACTCAGGCCCTTCCTGTGCAAAAACGCACCCTCTCCCCCGCCCCTTGCCACCGGTGGCGGCCCTAGACAGAAGTCTTCCCCGAGCGTTGTCCCCCAAGGAGAAGAGAGGAAGAACCAGCGTCAACTCTTGAAATACAGGAGTATTTGGGATGCGCTTGTGACCTGGGGGTTTCCTGGGGCTCCTCAGGCAGCACTCAGTCTATGGCCTCTGTCTTTCAGGGGCGTGTGCCATCCTTGGGGAAGGCACGGTGTGATTCTTGCCCACTGCGCTGCTCTGATCCGAAAGGAACCGGGACTCCGATTGTGGCCCTATCGTCACATCCCTTCTCATCACAATTTAAAGGACTCCCTAATGGAAATAAAAACAGTGAGTAAAAACGCATTTACTCCTGGTTTGTAGGTTGCTCCCTGACAGAGGTGGCAACCGTGGTGGTAAGTTTAAAGTCACATGTGTCCAGCACAAATCCACATCCAAACACTTTTTTAACCTTGATTTTTGAGTGGGGTGGCCAAGGCGATGAACACAGGTGAAAGATGGTTTTCCTTTCTCCATCGGGTCTGATTTTTAAATGGAGAAAACGTGGGTTAGCCCAGTCCCTAGACATGTGTCAGCCAATCCTGAGTGTCTTGGAGGTCAA